ATTAATAATATTTTTTTTTTTACATTTATCAAAAGACTGATTCAATCTTACCGTCATTAACATGCAAGGCTTAATGGGCCTAACAACATGTAACGGAAGAGGAATCGTGACAAGGTAGAAAGATATCATTATCTGCCATTAACCTTTGTCGTCTTTTGATACAGCCATTATGACGTAAGAGCTTACGTCATGAGAAGCTCCTCGAAATCTTCAAGGGCAAAATGGTCTTTGTATGGCTAATGACGTGAGAGATTACGTCATTAGGAATTCCTCGAAATCTTCAAGGGTGAAGTCGTCTTTATCAGAAAGACTCATTGGTTGTGGGGAGGCAGGATTTGTACAGTTCCGCCGCACATGAGAAGCTTTGCCAAATTTCACCCAAAGACTGATGGTGGTGGTTTCGGCTAACATCTCTTTATAGATATCTTCATCTTGGAATTGATCATACCTCGCTGTAGTGAAAGGAGGATTATTATGATCAATCTTTTGGAGGTTATCACTGAAACAAATATCAGTGAATGACTCATTATCCAGAAACAAGTGATGTTTAGCTGGATAATATTCCCCTTTTATGTTGTAGGGGTGTGTTGAGAATATTTCAATGAAATATTCCTCACTGTATGTGTTTCGAAAGAACGCATTTATCCGGTAATTTATCTTGATACCGAAAAATGGTTCTATCATCGAGTTTCTGAAAATTATCATCCTTTTCATGAATCCTGAAAAGAATAAATCTTCAGTTAATTGTTTACTGATCCAAGCAGGATCGGATTCCACCAAATAAGGGTTTATTCTGATGTTGTACTGATCGGAAGAAGAGGGTGTCAAATCATCTTGATATTGGACTATTCTCAAGTATTGGCGGAGTGTAGAATCTACTGGTAATTGGAATAACCAGTTTTGTAGGGCTCCAAGTTCTACTAACAAGGCAACAAAAACATGTTCGTAGATTTTTTCTTGGATTGGGCCGAGAAGTTGTCCCAAAATTTTCTTTTGAATGACCAAACATAGGCCATTTTATTTGTAAAAGTTCCATAATCAATGGTTTCGAAATCATAGTCCATCTTTTTACGGAGTTCTAAGATTTCGGTTTTTAAATTTTTATTTTCTATTTCTAAACAGGAAATATGTTTTTGAAAATCATTTTTCTGAAAAGAAAAGGAGTTTTTCAATTTTTGTTCCATTTTCTTGGCAAAAGCCAAGCGTTGTCTCAGTTTAATGGAATCATAAATTGAAAAATTCTTTTGTTTTGTTGGTTTTTCAAAAATGAAATTACCAACTTCGGGATGGTCCAACAAACTGTTGTCACCTCCAACATAGTTGACCATCGCTTGTACTGCTTTTTCAAGGTTATCAAATCCTTAAATTTTGCTGTGTTTGTCATTACCTATCGCCTTCAACAAAGAGGGATATGATAGGTAGACGCCACGCTTGTCTCTAGTAAAAAGGCAGTAGGCCTCTTTCTTGGGTTTTTTAAAAACAGCGGGCAACATTTTTGCAAAGTAATAATTTAATGCATTAATAGCATTAAATTTAGTTGTTGTACTACAAGCTCGATGAAGAGCATCAAGTAATACCTTTTGTTCCCTTGAAATGGGACAGTTCCTTAGACATTTGAATTGTTGAGGGTGACCTTCTGGTAAAACCGGAAGATGCTGTGTTCCAAACTTTAGAGTATCAAACTCTTCAGTTGTTGAGGCTGGTAACTTGCCTTTATTGATTGGGTTTGCCATAGTAGTACCTGTATAACTGAAGGAACTCTGTAATACCCTTTTGTTAGTTTCCTTAGAAGAAGAAGCTGTTGTATTCATTAGACAATATCCAAAATCATCTAATATATTTCCTAATTCATTATACTTATTATCCAGTTGGAAATCATTTTCATTTGGATAAAGGTGAATGAATTCATTATTTGTGAAATCATTTATTAGGCCATAATCTTTATGGCTTTTGTCTAAATTGATTTCATCAGTATACTCAGTAATACTAATCACTGATAGTATTTCAGAGTCAGTAGAAACATCTTCATCTATTGGAAGAAGGTTCATGTGGCAGGATTTTATCAATTCTGCCTCTTTAGTGTAAAGGTTTGTAATGTTAGGACAATCTCTAGAGAAGTTTCTTGGTTGATTACAAGCGAAACATTTCAAAGTTTGGTTGTATGTTTTGTTTTCTCTAAATTTTCTGACGTGTCTATCAGGGTTTAGAGTTGGTTTTCTAGAATTTGAAGATCTAATCGTGTAAGTCTTTCTAGAAGTTGTGGGTTTTTGTCTTTCAGAATAAGAATTCTGATTGTAGTTTTTATTATACCTAGGTTTACTTCTAGGTATAGGCCTTCTGTAAGGCTTGTTTTGATTATACTGCTGAGGAGTATAGATTTGTTTGCAAATTCCAGCATCGGAATTTTTTAATTGCTTTTGTATAGCAATATGTGTACACGTATCTTCCATCATTTTCATGATGTGTTGTATACGTATAGAGAGGTTGTTCAACATGGGAGTAACCTCTTCATTTTTCCAGGATTCTCGGATCTTTTGGCCAAGTTTTCCTAGTAGTTTGAGAAACATCTTTTCTCCAATGCTTAAATTATGGAAACATCCAGCTATGGATGCATACATGAGATAATCTTATAATAATTCTAAATCTTCTCACATATGTGATTGTCTGGAACAAGATTTAGAATTATTACAAGAACATCCATCCATAGGTTGTTCTATGTATTTTGGGTTGTCGCCGCTAATTATGGGAGACATTTGTGTTCTATCACTAATTATAACATAATATTTGTTTATAGTGATAGTTTGATCTTGGCCTAGGATAAAATCTAAACCAATAATCATGTTTTGTTTGGAGGGGACTAAATTTTCCACTCTCATAGTTTTGATGTGTATTTTCTGACCAAACAAGTCACAATTTGTGCTAAATTGAAGAGAGATATTCCTTATCTCTTCATCATTTATCATTATTTGACCAGACATCGCTGTAGTTTTTTGTACATGTTTACTTTTAGTAATCATGTATGTGGGTACTTTTGTTCTGCATACAACTGTTTCAGAACATCCTGTATCTAAGAGAGCTTGAACTACAACCTCTTTGGCAGGATATTTGTCTTTCTGGGGAAAGTTTAATTTAACTAATACCTTAACAGTTATTAGTTGTTTTGTATTACAAACTAATGGGATACGTTCCGTAGTTCCCATCATATTGTTTTGTGTAAAAGTAGATACTAAATCCTTTTTAGTATCTTTTCCTATAACAATTTTTTCTAAGTGAAGAACCTTTTCTTCAATTAGGTTTAATCGGGTTTCCAAGACTGAAGTCCTAGTGTCGATTAAATTTTTGTCTTTTGTACTTTCTTCTTTTCCTAAGAAAGTAGGTATATCCTGTATTCCTTGTTTATTCTTTAAACAATCTATACATAAATTTTTGTAACAAAGGAGACAATGAGCCCTTTGAGAGATGTGAAAATATCTTTCACAATGTAGACAAGGAATAGATCCTGGTCCTGAGAAAAATTGAATGTCATGACAACATGTATTTTTCTCTGTTGTGTTCATTAAACCATTACCCAAATAGTCTAATGTTTCTCCTAGGTTTAGAAGAAGTTTAGGGTTTTGTAGACTCAGCTCTGTACAAGGCATATTGTCTAGTGTAGGGTTTTGGTTGTTATCAGAACCAATATTTTGTAGTGATTTTATAGAATCATCATCAGATTCTAACTGGTAATTATGAGATTGAGAATCATCCGATTCTACACTCATGTTTTCAGACCCTAGGGTTTCTAAGGGTTATGAGGTTTCAGATAAATTATCCAATATATCGTCTGGATAAAATTCATCTAAAAATTCGTTTATAATGTCATCAAAAGATACATTATCTATTGTTTCTTTTTTACATCTTATCATAGGACTGTTTTCGTTTTTAGGGATAGTAAAAATACTATACCTATTTTCTTCTTACCTATCTTGTTCTAGGTCTAGGTTTGATAAAGTTTTTGAGAACCAATCCTGTAGTTCTCTGTGTTCTACTACCAAGGTATCTACAACTTGTTGGTAGTCTCTATCCGCAATTGGGTTAGCTAAATAACCCCAAGGGTTTTTTCTACGTGACTTAAAGTATCCCATATACTCTATGTTGCCACATAGTTTTATCAATCTTTGTAGTTTTCTAGAAATCTCTTCTAGAAAAGTATCTATACTGTTTAGTATAGACTTTTTGTATCCCGCTAAAGGAAAATTTATAATTTGTTCAACAGCTATCATAGTTGTCTTGTAATTTTTATCTAAAATGTTTTGTTCAACAACTATCAAAGTTGTCTTGTAGTTTTTGCCTGAAAAAGGTTGTGTAGTAACTACTAAAGGCTGTGTGGTGAAAGGCTGTGAACCTTCCATTAAAATTTTTAAAATAAAAATAAATTAAAAAAAGGGCGGAAAATCAGAAAGAAAGTAAGTAAGGCCGCAGACAAGTGGAGAGGGATAAAGGAATCTACGAAATACACTATAAACCAATATTTATAAAAGAATATAGATAATCGTAAGACTTAAATGAAAATCTTTTTGTTGATTTTATACAATTTTTGATTTTTATGTTTGATTTTATACAATCATAAAATTAATATAAAATAAATTTGTTATTAAGATTAACTTTATTATAGAATAAATGCTTTGAATTAGAATAAGATAAATTTTCCTTTTAGTATATAGAAAAATGATACTTTGACAACCCAAATTCATACAACTTCTATAAACAACTCTCTCTTAATATTATAATAATAGTTTTAATTTATTTTTACTTTTATTAAATCATTCAATAGATTATTATATTAATAAAAGTGAGTTGTTTAAAGGGTTTTATGGTTTCTAGTTGTGAAAATATCATCAACCTAGTATATATAATATGAATTTAGACAAAGGATTGGTTGTTAAAGAAGGCGAAGCAAGGGTTTTAGGGGTTTTGGAGGTTTTAAGCAGAACAAAGGATCTACTGTCGACGCAGCCACGATGTCCACGCCCCCGAAGGAATTTCCGAAGGAACAATCCGATGAGAAAGAGCAGGATCCCCCTCCGGATCCGGCAGGTTCGGAGTCCCCTGAAGCAGAAGCAGATGAAGAGGAAGAAGAAGGAGAGTGCGGGTTCTGCCTCTTCATGAAAGGGGGCGGGTGCCGCGATGCCTTCATCGGTTGGGAGAAGTGCGTCCAAGAAGCCGAGACCAACAACGAGGACCTCCTCGAGAAGTGCGCCCACGTCACCGCCGCGTTGAAGCAGTGTATGGACGCCCACTCCGACTACTACGAGCCCATCCTCCGCGCCGAGAAGCTCGCCGAGGAGCAGGCCGTCGTTGAATTGGAAAAGGAGAAGCAAAATTCCCAGCAACCCCCTTCTACCCAAGATCAAAAGTGAGACCCACCCTCCTTTTTTCCTTTGTCACAATAATTGGAATGCCCAATGATTTCTTACCTTCATTTTAATTTGTGTTGCGTTTATAACAAGATTGTGTGATCTATACCTGTTTAACTCTAGGATAGCGAATGTTTCAGTTACTGAATGATGTGAGGGTAGTTTATTACTGTTGAGATTTTGCAGAATTTAAGTTCCAGAGCTGTTGGTCAATAAGAATTAAGAATTTATCTTCTGTTAACTTGACTTTCATATTTTCAATTAAGAGTTAGTCAGGATCCTTTGATTTGTTAGTAGTTATGTTTAAGAGAAGAAAATAGAGAAGTAAATTGTACCAGTTTATTTTCACAAGTTATGTATTACCAATTTATATTAGTAATGTTTTAAAATGTGGTTGGAGTCACGGTTTTGTTGTGTTTCTTGATGTCGTGGGAAATTATGGACAAATGTGGCTGCAACTGCAATCACAGTTACTCCCGAAACCTTGACATTGTGGCTGAAAGTACAGTGACAGACTGTTATTTGGGAAGTAAGATAAGAGGACTTTTGAAAAGGTTGAGATGGAGAAAATAATTTTGACTTGAAGAAAAATTTGATTTATTTTTCTTCTCCTATAAGTACTTCGTGGAAGTTCATCTATCTCAACTCATTTAATTTAATAGAGGTAAAAATGAAATGTTGGTTTTAGCTTATGAAATAAGTTTGATTCATTTTGCTATTTTTTCCTCCTAGTAGTGTTTTTAGCTAAGCTAAATCAAATTAGCTGCTGATTTATGCAGACACTACAAATTGAAATTCACATTCTTTTCCTTCAATAGCAGCATTTCTGCTTTAACTTAATAATTCTGTTAAATTTTCATTTCCATTTGACATTAAAAAATAGGTAGATGTTCATGCCAGTAGCATATAGCCTGTTTGTTTTACCCCAAATATCATGGTTTATACAGTGCTGGTGAAAATTTCAAGTTTCTAAGATCAATTCTCTGTGGTTAGTAGATTTGATTTAAAGGAAAGTAAATCTTTTCAGCCTTTTTTGTTGAGTATCATTCTTATACATGCCTACATGTGCACTTTAAAATTGATTTACATTTTACTCCAAGAAAAATCTTTTTAAATTCAACTTTTAACATAAAACAACTTTTAATATCAGTTAGGTTGAAATAAAATTTTCAATGTTACCTCTAAAATCTTTACAAAATGGACTCTTTTTCCTTTGTTTTTTTGCTGAACAAAAAGGACTTGATCCGTAAATCAGTGAAGGTTTTTCATTAGCCATTCACATAATACTGATAAAAATTTTGAGGATGAAAATCTAACGTTTTAGTTATTGATATTAGAAGTAGATGAAGTATGAAGTGTTGAAGCTTGCATATCTGAATTAGAGATCTTCTGCAGTGAATTTTTTAAATATTAAAGCAGTGTATGCATGCTCATTCTGATTACTACAAATTCATTCTCAGGACCGACAATGTGGTCGAGGAAGTAGCTACCATTGAACTGGTGAAGGAAAAGCAATATTTGTCGCCTAATGAGTCCCAACCCCCTTCTCCTTCTAGTCAAGACCCAAAGTGAGACCTCATATTTCCATTTTTTGTTTCTCTTAACTTGATGTCAATGCAAATAGATTACAATCATTTGTCACTGACTCATTTTTGTCACAATAATTGGAATGACAAATATTTTTTTGGATTCTAAGCTGTATCAATTTCCGATTTTTAATTTACAATATGGCTGTGCTGTATTGGTTGTTATTTTACTGTATAGTCAGTGATTCATGCCATAGTAACAAAAGTGTGTGATCTGTGTGTGTAAGTTCTGTTTAGTTTGATCCAGTCTAGGATAGGAAGTATTCAGTTACTGAATGTGACTTTGGGTTCTTGCTTAATGTTTCTTGTATAACTTTATGTTGATTTGCAGAACGAAAAATGCTAGAGTTAGTAGTGAAAAAATAACTGAGAAATAGCTTGACTGACAGATTCTCAATTAATAGCTACTTTGGATGATTTTTTTGACAAATGGTTAGTTATAAGAAGAAAATAAAGAGGTAAAATAAAATGAATAATTTTTTTTACAAGTTATAAATAGCTTAAGTATCTTAGTAAGGTTGTAAATTGTGATCGCAGTTTTATTGCAATCACTGATGTGGGAAATTGTGGTTGTATTGACTGCAAAAGTCTTAACGTCGCAGCTGAAATTGCAGTTGTGGACTAGTTTCTGAAAACTTGTATCTGAGCTTGTTGAGAAGTAAGAAAGACGAGAGAGCTTTTAAAAAGATTGAGGTAGAAAATTGAATTTTAACTTCAAGAAGAAAAATTATTTATTTTACTTGTAAAGAAGTTTATTTAATCCCCTTGTGAAATTAATAAAATAGGTTGGTTTTGATTAAATAATTATTAATGGTACTAATAAGGCAATAACACGTAACCTCCTTTTTTAAACCAAAATCATGTTAGTGCCCAAATGAAATGGTTTATACTCTGGTGCAAAAAATTGTGTTTCTGAAGTCAATGCTGTTATTAGTAGAATTATTTTGAAGGAAAGTGAAACGTTTTAGTTTCTATTTTTGGTATTATTCTTAAAACATGCCAACATTTACACTTCAAAGTTGATTTACTTCCATCCAAACGAAATCTTCTTGAATTCAATTTTAAAATACCATCCTCAAATACAAATAACATTTTGTAACGTCAATTCTTCTAAAAACCAATACTACTGAACTCTAAGCCAAATGGACTGTTAGCTATCATATGATAAGTAGGACGTAAAGTTCGTTTCGGGAGTTGTATTTTGGAGGATCAGAATGTAACTCTTGACATACTGACGTTAGAAAGGATGAACTATGAAGTGCTCTGACATGGATATTTGAATTACTGATTTTCTGGTGACATTTGCCATCCTTCTGTTTATCTTCTCTGTAATGCCAACAGACGAAATAAAAGTATTGAAGTTTGAATAAATTAGATTTTTTTTTCTTCTTTTTTCTAAGAATGACACTACATGACCCTAATATTTCTCCGCAATATTGCGTTGCCGGAAAACAGAGGGGAAGGAAGGGGCAAATTGTAGAAATAACCTGTTTCATTCAGGAAAAAAAAAATTAGAGAGGGGAAAAACTTAACGAGGTTAAAATCCTTCTTCCCTTCTATATTGTGTTAATTAAATTATCCTTATTTTGAATATTTGAACTTAATAATTTAATTTGTTTACTGTTTAAGCATAATAGGAAGCGGAAATGTTATATTGAGAATCCAAACATTCATCTTTCGATGTTGATTAGATGTAAGGGTTGTAAAGTGATCCGTGCTCAATAGTAAATTAGTTTATTTTTATCGCTCGTCTCATCCAAGTTGCTTCTTTTCTTCTCATATGTAATTCAGTCTAACATTTTATTGTCATCACAATACCTATTTATGAGTGTTCTTAAGACTTGAATGAGCTCGATGGAACGATGGACATGCATCTATTGAAGTATAAAACATTTCCTCATTTGTACTACGGACAATCACTCATCTTTATCTTCATCTTCGTCGTAATTGAAGGGTAGAGGCACAGACTTAAATGCACGGTACTTGCCAACATTGTTCAAGTGCTCATTCTCCAATCTGGAATTTAGAAATGTAGCAATCAATTATCAGATGAATTAAACCAAGTCTAGAAGTTGTCCTTGTTTGTCCAAATGATGCATGGAATTGTGAATACTATTTTGTGATACAAAAGTTAAAGAAAATTGATTATGGTCCGTGCAACTGCAACGTATTGGGATTTTGGGAGTCACTGAAATCCTGATTAATTTCATGATGTTTACCTAAAGAAGTTCCATATGCCACGACGAATGATCTCTAGACATGCAACAATGGTAGTCATGGCATGTTTATGCAAGAAGCTAAAGTTGAATCTCAAGACTGTCTGCAACCAGGCAAATCTCAACAAGACATTAAGGACCTGCGCGGGTTCAATTTGTCAGCAATTTTCGAATTTAAAAAGCATAGAGGAAACAAAACATCAATCATAAATGCAAAGCATGTTTGATAATTGTCAAGCACAATTGCTATACCATGGCTATAAAATATACACTTTTTTGAGGGACAGCGAGTTTGTCTCTCAACCAGCGATTCTTGGAACGCCTCTGCAAAAGGCCCCAGTCTATTACAAGGTCCCAATATGTAGAAGCAACTGCTGCAAATATTGAGAAAACCCAAGCCAACACTTTCCACACCATTGAATTGTTATGACTATACGCTGTCCTTAGGCAAACAGCAATAATTGTAAGGAAGTATTTCAATCCATTATATCCTTGCATTGGATCTTTCTCTTCGAACAGCCGCCTAATACACTGCAACATATTCAACAATATTTTATTTAAAACTTCAAATTTTATTCATAACAGTTCATACATAAATACGGATAACAAGCAAATGAAGAAAGTATAAAGCAATTTGGGGTGTCTAAATATTAACCTTTCTACTTATATTTTGGTTTAAGTAAGATGATATTACTCACTAGTCAGTTGCAAGAAAATTAGTCCAATGGGTGTTTCCACTATGCTCATTTATGTTGTTACCTCCAACAAACACAGTTGTAAAAAGTCGAAAATAATTAATAAACTGTCACCTGGAGGAAACGGGACCAGTAGGGAATAACAGCAACGATGAATGAGAAAGTTATGAATACGCTGCTAGAGTTGCAAGTGTTTTCTCTCTGTTTGAAATTACCCCAGCCGTAATAGCAAATGTAGAACTCAAAACTTCTCAAGGCTTGCACCTGAGTACACAAAAACGTCAAGTTGTTATACATGGTAAAGAGCATAAGAAAAGAATATTGATCCATGTGGAAACAAACCTGGCTAGTAAATTGATCTGCCAAGAAAAAGTCCGGTAGTGTGACCTGAGATGCATGGAAAACAACTAGTGTTAGACTACCCTAGGAAGTCAGAGAATGCAAAGACCTTGTGTTTGCAAGGATTTTTCTATACCTTGTAAAGAGGTGCACATATACAGTGAAATAGGCACACGAGGAAGAAAACCCTGCTTGAGCGATAAAAGATGTTTATGGGGCACAATAAAATAGCAATCGCAGCCTGCAAGAGTAATAATGAATGAATGAATGAACTCAGTACTTGTTAACATATTTAATGGCAAAATCTTTCAAAGATAAACTCATTACAAGGAGCAAGATGAGTGGAATAAGTTCAGTCAATGTTTGGTAATCTTTTGTCTGTGGATCTATCTGCATGTCTAGGTTTGCGAGCACACCACCCAGTGCTAACACTGCTAGACCAAAACCGAGGAGAAGGACTTGATTGTAGCCTAAGTCAGTGCCTTGCTTAAAACCAAATATGAATGAGTGGTTCACTCTGTACCGCCTCCAGAAGTATATATCGGCAGCATACATCAGCAAGTGTAGAACTACGTATCCATACAGACTGCAAAAAACAAAGTTCAACATGGTAACTATGTTGCATATTTTTCCCTATGTAGATCAATCATCTCCTATATGTTTATTTTGGTGGGGGCTATTGTACCATAACTACTAATTTTTGAAAGTATATGGAATTTGGAAAAACTACCTATGCAGTGGGAACAAGGTTTCCATGTACTTAGTACTCCCTGAGTGGTCCAATATTTTTCGCGTACGAACGATTAGAATAAGGGCTAACACCAGAGCTGCTGTGCATCCTGCTAAAAAACCTGAGAATATGTTGACAGTGTCAACAGAAAGAAGAAACGAGAATCAAAATTTGTTCTCTTCCACTCCAAAAGAACAAGATTTTACAATATACATGAATATCTTGGTGCTCACCCATGGAAAATGTAACTCTGTGTCTTTCCCTCTTTGCTGTTGGCCTTAAGATACTCATGGCTTTATTACGATTTGAATTGTAGAAGTGCTTAGTGAACGTTTTCTCAACCCTATCCATGAGCTTTGTGACCTGCCACGGGAAGTGTCAATTAAAAACATTGAGAACTCAAAGAATAGTGTAAAAGGCTTTGCACTGTATCCATCACAAACTGTTATGTATGTTATTTTTTATAATAATTACATAAAAATCATGTTTACTATAATTTTTGATTAATTGATATCATAAAAGCTGTTACACTGATTGGTGTATTGAAATTAAACTCACAAGAACAATGGATCTCAAAGTTACTAGGCCTTCTTTTTAGCACTCTCACCTCGTCAGAGTTTCCAAGTTGGGAATTGTCTACCATTTTCATATAAGCTTTAGCTGCATCTCTTGTTGTGATCTGCATATGATTTGATTATATGAAGTGATAGTGGAGACAAGATTGTATGTTGGAAATTTTACACGGAGCAAAATGAAGGACAAGAGTAATTGAATTTCCACCTTATCATATTTCTTCATTATCTTTGAAAATGCCAAGGTATTTAGAAAGCTGTTAATTTCATGAAAATGGTTAGATAAAATCACCAAGTAGCTGAATAAACTAGCTTCTTACATTACCTGTAGCTTTTTAGAAGGCGAAGCTTGCGGTAGAATTCAATGAATGAGCGTTGAAGTAGTTCCTCAACTTTGTTCAGATTTTTTCTGCTGAAATGTAGTTCTGTGTGGCCAGGGAAATTTAGAACACCTTTTATAGTTGAACGTGGAGTTTCAAAGGTGTGGTTCAATTGCACATGATCAAGTACTTCCAAAGGAGCTGGTCTAATACCCCTGATATCCTTTGGCTTCTTTTCCACCACTTTTGGTTTAACAGTTGCTTTTTCTTGTTCTTGATCATCATTAGAATCATCTGATTGTTCACGATGAGTGCTACCCTCTTCAATAACTTCCATCATCATCGAAACCTTTCCTGTAATAACCATAATGCAATTGAATTTTACTCAACTTGCAAACTCAAACTTTTCAATGAACATTTGGTTATGTTCGTCTTAAAGCAATTCTGTTTAGTAAAATAAAATCACTATAAGTTGATTATTAGTTAATCCACATGTTTAATAATGAAGAAAATAGTTTGAAAAGTAAACATATGATTAAAAATAGAAAAATATATCCAGCAATAATAAAAAAAATTATCTCCTTCAATAATGATTTTATCGTTAGCTTAAGTTTACTTTGAAATTTTAAATGACATATATGTATCGATAATAGCTTATGAGTACGTTGAGAAAAGTAAGTTAATGATATTAAATGGAGGAAGAAAGTCAAATAAACTAATGGCCATAATAAAAGTCTGGGGCTGATTAGTAATTAATTAAAAGATTAATACTATAAAGATCAATTTCGAGGAAATTAGGCAACATTAATAAATGTTGATAAAAGAGGAGTTATAAAAAAAAACCCACAGAGAAGGAATACACAAGAGAATAAACATAAACAAAAGGAAGAAAAATTCAATCAACAAATTATTAATAAATTTGATTAGAATATATTGACTGTGGAAATGTTTTAATTTGATATTGCTATGTATTGACAAATTTTCATATATGATCTGATTAATAACTTTTACAATAATTATATTGTATAAAGAATGCAAAATGAGCGTATGTGGTATAAAAGATTAAAAAAAAAATAGTAAAAAAAAGTATATGTTTAAATAATTATATATTCGATTTTATCTTTTAAAATTATACATAAATAATTGAAAAAAAATCATTTTGTTTTTTGAAATAAAGTTAAAATTGATTATGAAAAAAATGAATCTAATCCAAATATTTACCAAAACTCTCAAAGTTTTCCGTCCCTTTCGAGTCCCACATGCCTTGACCCTTGGGCTTTTCCACAGACCACTTTTATGATATAAAAATTCTTATTTGACAATGTACGTTCATTTTATTTAGAATTAAATTTATAATAATAAATTATTATTTGTATAAATTTTAAGATAATTGTTATAAAAATTAATAAATGTATTATACACAGTGATTTATAATTAAATGATAACATAAAATTATTCTACATTATTAGTACACAATTTTTTCTTCTATATTTAAATTAAACATGAATATCTTTATAAAAATAGTTAAGAAAACATAAGTAAAAGAAGTTTTAATCAGTAATGTTTATAAGATTGTAAAGTATTTAGACCGGAAGATTTTATATTAGAAACAGACCTTTGATCAAACATTTTTTAAAAACATTTTGACCTAAAGTTTTCGTCAAATAAAATACATTAAAATAAAAACAAAATCACTGTAATTGATAATGATATATTATTTAAAATCAAGTGCAACCTTGCTGATAATTACTGTTTCTACAACATTATGCGAACCAACTGCGTTGACCGAAAAAATAAAAATAAATAAATAAGCAGCGTATATAGAACTCAGATTTATTTAATTACAATGAATTCACCAGATTTAAAGGCCTTTATACCACAATTTAATTATTAATTATATGTGATTCACTATATTTTTTTTATGAGTATTTATAACAGAAAAAAAAGCTATAAAGCAACCAATTTAAGCCCTTTTAAAAAAAATATAAACCTATACATATTTTTTTTATTAACAAATTAAGTTGTGTATAAAGAGAAAACAAATTAAGTATTGAGTCAAACAATTTTACACTCTTGCCAAGTCATTAAAATGTTGTATATAAATACCTATTAAATTTAACGTGTGGTTGGTTGACCTTATAAAATTTGTTTAGATTGCAACATGAATGTACTTCTTTTACCACATATCATTTGTAAAATATTTCTTCTTAATATATTATCAAATTTATGATTTAAAATTTGGTACTTTACATAAATTATCAAATTTTTTAATTATAAATTATCATTTATTTGAGTAATTGGATTAGATTTATTTTTGATGAAAAAAAGATGAATGGTTTAGTTGGAAAAGAAAGTTAGAAAGTTGAAAAGATGAAAAATAAATACTGTTGAGTTTGGCGCCTCGGGGTGTGGAAGCAGAGAGCACGGCGGATGAAGAAGCAACGTCGGAGGCAAGGCGAGTCATCTCGACGGAGCGATCAAAGGAGGCGGTGGGGTTCTCAACTTTGATCCTGAAAGCGATCAAAGCGTCCATTTGCTTGTTCAGCATTGCCGCTTCCTTCATCACCTCCTCCACTTTCCCCCTGTAAAACCTCTCCACCTTGTTCAACTCATCGTCCACTCTCTTGAAGTACACCAACTCGTACTCCCCCCCTTCGTCTGAGCTCATCAGAAACGTCGTTTCGTATCTCTCCGACCCACCTCGCTTCACCGCCTGCACCATGATGGGCTCGCTCTGGTTCTGGCTCTCGATGTCGCCGGAGGGACTCAGAGGCTTGTACCGTCTCTGTGTCAGCCCGCTGAAGGCTCTGTACAGTGTCATCTTTCGCCTCAGTCCTCTTGGTGTGGCTGCAGGAGCCTTCGTTCTCTGTCTGAAACGCTGGATTTCTTTCAGCTGGGATTTCAGAAAATTGTAATCCATGTATGCCTCTTGCCACTCCGGCACCATTTGTGCCGTGTATTCTTTTCCAAACTTCATTTTTTGTTCTTGTGTTGCACCAAGAACAGGTTAAAGTCTTTCGATAAAAGCAAGGGAGAATAGCGAAAGAGAATAGAGAGATGGTTGTGGAGAAGGTGGATTGTGGATGCTGTTATTTATACCATGAATGAAGTAAAATTCTTGACAGTGTGTTTGTTTGAGAGATTTGGTAGGCGCCGAAGACTGATTCAACGCATGTGTTTTAAAAATTGAAAATTAGAATAGAAAAAGGTAAAAAGTTGCACCACGTTACACGTCCTTATTAGACCCCACAAGGGAAAGCTAGTGCTTGTTAACTTAGCTTGTCTTCATCATGCCCCCTAAGAGAAGGTGTCAGGGTTTTCTAGGAAGAAGGGGTTCGTGGAAAAAGAAGAAAGAATGTTTCTTTTTTGGTTGGGTCTTGCGTTGGTAAACTTTGGCTCACTCCCCTTTACTACCCTCTCATGGCTGGCTCCATGTGTAGCAGAAAAACGAGAGCCACGAGACACTGTAGAAAGAGAATGTTTACTAATAATTTTGATCCGTGATTCCTTTTTACAGAAAATAAAGGAGGCTTGTGTTGTGATAAAAGTAATAATCTCAAAAATACAAATGATTGTGAGGAATAGGAATTGTTGACCGTGACCAACGTATTTAGGTGTGTTGGGTATTTCTGTGAAGGGAAATATCAAAGTTTGAGTGTTTGAAATGGACGTCAAAAATAAAAAAAAAACTTGCTTCTCTCGTGCGGAAAGCTAAAAAGTCAACTGCACAAGAGACGGATGTACAATGAAACCAACGCAAAGTTTTTCTTTCTTTCTTCGTTTCATTTTCTGAGTTCAAAATTAGAGACCTAACGCGTGCCGTCACAATTACCATGAAAACTGCTTTAACTCACACATTAATTTAAGTTAATGTTTGGATTACTTTATTTCTAATACTAAATGTTTTATTTTATTTTTCCAAAATAAGATTAAACAATTATATATATATATTTGTTCTAGAAGTATGTTCCATGGTTTTGAAATAGTGGAAACATGCAGAAGCCTTTCATTAACAGTAAAAAGGAATGCATGTTAGAATTATCTTTAGCTTTTGATTCCACTTTCTCTAGTTTGTTTTTTCTTTGATGTTATAATTGATCCTGTTTTTTTAAAACCATAATTTAAAAAATTCCAAAAATAATAAATTGTTGTTTAAGATCTAGAAAATTTGAAAAAGTTTTGTGATAGTAATTAATGTAGTCAAAGGAAGGTATTTGTGAATCAGTAGCAGGCCATTAATTATTTTTAAGCACAACCTTTATACATACAAGACGAAAATCGAAAGTTGGTGGTTAATACTAATAACGCTGCTTAAATAACTTTAAAATGGTTACGGTTGTTGCACCCAATAGAAGCTCCCTCCCATCATTAGCTTCTGCTTTTGTTGTTTAACTTTTTCATCTATTAACGAATGGAACATTTGTAGGAAATTATTTCTGTAATACAAATTTGATTTATTATTCAATTCATTTTAAATTATTTTTAAAATTTCAATATTAGAAATAATTTTAAATCATAATATACAATATTTACTATAAATCTACAATAATATTTATTACATATATAATTATATATCTTCAAAATATTTTGTTGTTGTTGAAATTGATAAGAATAAAAATCCCGAATTTAATCGTAAGTGGACATATAAAGATAATGATGTATTAGGACCTTGAATGACGATAAAATAAAACATACATGTAATGGTAAAAATTAACAATTGGAATAACAAAATAAATTATTTTTTTAGTATTAATTATTGATTTTTTTATGAACAATTAAATTTATTAGAATAAAGTACTTTACTCATTTTCTTGATAAAAATAAAATAAAGATCAGATCATCGTGCATGTTTGAATTAAGGTTTAAAGAACAAACAACGTATTTGAAACATTGTAATGTTTTATTAACAAACTTTTTATAAGTTCAAGCCAAACACAATTCTTCTGCTACATAATTTAGTTTGAGACGGGTTTGAAATAAAATGTTATCCTTTTCTTGTAGTTTTATCCAAACATCTAAAAGTTTCATCTAAAAACATATTTTATCTAAATTTTTAATGAACTTTTTCGTTTTTATATATTTATATATATATATATATATATATATATATATATATATATATTTAAGATTATGATAACATTGGGTCAAAATTAATGAATAATGATCATTATTGGGTATATTTAGCTTGAGCACTTTATTTTTCCTTCAACTTTTTTCTCGTTATTTCTATCTTAATGAATTTTTTAAATTAAATATATTACATGAAGTTTTACTATATATATTATTTGTTAGTCTAATGTAAATATTTTCTCATTTAATTCATTTAAATAGGCATTATGATAATAATAAATAATTAAGATACAGATAAGATATTTAAAAATATGATTGTTTTCTTTTATTTTCCGCATTCCAAATCGTAGTTAAGACTAATTTGTTTAAATTTATTGACTGATTTTATCAAAGTTATTATTATTATAATGTTTTAACAAAAACAATATTAAATAAATATATAATTAAAATTTGTAATAAATAAACACTTTTAGGCCTATATAAATTATTGCGTGTGTACTAACGTACGATACGTATAAAAATAAATAAATAATCAAAATACTACACTCCAAAAGCTATATAAAATTTGATGCATCATAATCCATGTCTCGTGGATTAGGATCCTCATAAGTTCTGTTGAAGTTGACTGCAATGGAGCACTGTTTTTGCTGCTGCAAAAGAAGTTATTCGAAATTGTGAGGGTCAATTCACAGTGGAACTGAAGTGGAAGTGATTTTTTAGTAGCTGTAAATTTTATTAATCAGGGTTTTAACTTTCATACCCTGTCTTAACCATAAAACTTAACTTATTTATAAGTTATTCATACAGTACAACTGCATTCTCATGCAGTTCCTCTATAAATTTTAGAGGATTTGAAGATGGATATTCCTGTGACTGTTGTTCTGTGCTTGCTGTTCCTGCCAAATCACTCATTCTTATCTTCATCATCATCCTCGTAGTTGAAGGGCAGAGGCACAGACTTGAATGCACGGTACTTGCCAACATTGTTCAAATGCTCATTCTCCACCCTGAACCACATAATGACATGATGCAAATGAACTTTAGAAATGAAGTACGCGTAATATATTTTTCCTTTTGTGGCATGCAAAAGCAAAACTAGCAAAATATTCTTTTCCTCTTGGTTACCTAAAGAAGTTCCATATGCCACGACGAATGATCTCTAAGCTGGCAACAATGCTGATCATGGCTTGTCTATGCAAGAAGGAGAAATTGAAATTCAATATTGTCTGTAACCATGCAAACCTTAACAACACATTCAGCACCTGTGTATGGTTAAATCATTAACTTCCACAAATATACCACACTCCATAAATGCTGGTAGAAAAAGAAAAAATAAGTTTTTTCATAGGTTAAAATTAACTTGTATATATATAAACTTCCAATGTTAATTTCTCCAAAATAGTTTTTGAAATAAACTTATCTATAAGCTAGTTTTAGATTATAGAAAAAACATTATTTTTTCCTAAAAATACTTTATGAAGAAATTTACCTTGACCATAATATACATATTATAGGTCTATGCTATATAATAAGACTATGTAGTAAGGAAATTGATAGGTGCGTTAAAATTTTAGGATGATACATCATATTATTAGCAAAAGACCAACTTGGTTACGCTAACAATTCCATTTTTGTCTATACTAGTAACGACAAGTCAAACTTCAAACTGAGTGTGATGTTTTTTTCTTTTTCTGTGAGAACAGCAGGAATTCAACATATACATCTTGGAAAATGTCTAAGCAAAATAACTTATTGTTCCCGTAGTTAATTTCATACCATAGCTGCGTAATATACACTTTTCTGAGGGAGTAGGAGTTTGTCTCTGAGCCATCGGTTCTTGGAATGTCTTTGGAGGAGGCCCCAATCTTTGACAAGGTCCCAATATGTGGAGAAAATGGCTGTAGATATTGAGAATATCCAGGCCATTACTTTCAATCCCATTCCATCATCAAGAGTACAAGCTGTCCTTAGGCAAACAGCTGCAATAGTGAGGAAACACTTCAACCCGTTATATCCTTGCATCATATCTTTCTCCTCGTACAGGCGCCTCAGGCACTAACAAGAGAAAGAAGAAGATTATTTCACAGTCTCAATCAAGAGCATGCACGTTTACTAGTCAAGAGCATGTTTGAACAAACAGCTAAGTCTTACTTTGGTCTTTGGATAATTTTTTTCATAAGCACTTGGACAAGAAAACATATTACACAAGAATTTATCTTATAAGCGCTTGATTCAACAAGCTTATTTTGATAACTTCACAATGACTCTTGTTAAAATGAGCTAAAAATGCCTAAAAGATAAGAGGGTCATAGTTCACTTTCAAAAGCATAACCAAACACTTTTAATTAGTTTCAAACACAATTGCTTATTTGACAGAAACCCTTCCAAATGCTCTGTGTCTGTATTCCTGTTTTAATGACTACCAGCTAAAATAAGTGGGCGGAGGAAACTGGAATGAAGTGTGTACCTGAAGAAAGCGAGACCAGTAGGGAATCACAGCGACAATGAATGAGAAAACTATGAATACATTGGATGATTTGCAAGTTGTTTCTCTGTGTGTAAAGTCACCCCAACCATAGTAGCATATGTAGAACTCAAAACTTCTCAAGGCTTGAACCTGAATGAGAAAGAAATTATTTTGCTTGAGGAACATAGATCACGGAAGGGACAATGGGAGTATGAGCTCTATCGTGGGAGATATAGAAAAGTTAAGTATAATCGCATTTTGACCTTTCACTGACCTGGCTTGTAAACTGATCGGCCATGAAGAAATCTGGCAGTGTGACCTGAACCAGTGTTAGACTTCCGAAAAAAATCATTTTCAAAATGAGTGGGGATTTTTAGTGACTTAGCTACAATTTTTCTTTACCTTGTATAGAGGAGCACAGATGCAGTGAAGCAGACATGTAAGGAAGAACACTCGGCTTGATCGATATACGATGTTAAATGGGCATATTAAAATGGCAATCACAATCTGCAGAGTAAAAATGAATTCATCATGTAACTTTAGAAACAAGAATCTATGACAAGATTAATGTGATAAACTAATATCCTTACTAGAACCAAGATAAGGGGCAAAAGTTCAGTGAATGATTTGTAATCTTTTGTCTCAGGATCTATTTGCATGTCTAGATTTGCAAGCACGCTGGTTAGTGCCAATGCTGCCAGGCTAAAACTAAGGAGAAGGACTTGATGGTAGCCTAGATCAGTGCCTTGCTTAAAACCAAATATGAAAGAGTGGTTCACTCTGTATCGCCTCCAGAAGTATATATTAGCAGCATACATCAGCATGTGTAACACTACAAATCCAAATAAACTGCATGGAGAGTTTGAAAAACGAGACGTCAGCTACATATTTCTGCTTCTTTTCAAGATTGGAAGGTTTAGGAGTTCAGAGACAGACAAGACATATTTCAAGATCAGCATATGAATGTACCTGTAAAGAGGAAACATGATTTCCATGTATTTACTACTTCCTGAATGGTCCATGATTTTTCGGGTACGGACAATTAGAATAAGAGCCACTGTTAGAGCAGCAGTGCATCCGGCAGAAAAACCTGTGGAGCATTTTTCATGTCATGTGAAGATTGTTCGATACCATGAATATGTGTGATAATCTTGAACCATGTAATAATTTCTCATTAAGTTTGTCAATATAAGTCAGGGAAAGTATTACACACCAAACTTCCATATTTTTTATACATATCTATGTAAACATGCACGCACACCAAGTACTTGTTTACCCATGAAAAATGTAATCCTATGTCTTTCTCTCTTTGGTTTAGGTCGCAGGATGCTCATTCCTTTATTTCGATTTGAGTTGGAAAAGTGCTTAATGAATACATTTTCCACCCTCTCCATAAGCCTGGTGACCTGCAGGAAAAAAGTGTTTCACAAAACTAAAAGAAAGCATTTCGTATGCATTCAAAATGATGATGATAAGGCTTCGGTCCATGTATACAAATCTCACCTCATCAGAGCTCCCAAGGCAGGACTTATCAACCATTTTCATGTAAGCTTTTGCTGCCCCTCTTGATGTGATCTAAAACATGAAGCAAATCAAGGTGAATAAGCAGTTTCGTTTGCTTTAAGGAGAGACTTCAAGCTTTTGAAAGTCCAGTAATTACTTTATCATATTTCTTCATTATCTTTGAAAATGCCAGCACATTTAGAAATCTGTTTCATGAAGTACATACAAATCCATAAGAAACGATACGGCAACACAATTATTGATGTAAAAGAAATTGAGATAGCATCTACTACGTGTAGTTCTTCAGAAGGCGAAGCTTGTGATAGAAATCAACAAGAGCCTTTTTGAGTGTTTCTTCAACTTTGCTCAAATTTTCCTTGGTGAAATTTAACTCTGCTTGGCCAGGATAGTTGATGAAGCCTCTTATAGTTGAACGAGGAGTCTCATTTGTGTTATTTAGCTGCACTCGATTAAGTATTTCCACAGAAGCAGGTTTGATGGGTTTGATAGGTCTGATATTCTTCTTCTGTACAATATTTTTGTTGGTAGTTTCAATCTCTTTACCTTTGTCATCATTGCCAAACTCCTCTAAATGTCCATGATGGGTACTTCCTTCCTCTTTGATATCTTCAATTACAGTGGAAATCCTTCCTGTCCATGCACATTTTCATTTTCTTTTTAACTAACTCAAAATTTTCATTTTCACTTTTTTTTCCTCTATTTCCTCACTTTTCATCATTTGATCGAAACAAAACTTATAAAGAGCTTCAGCCTGTATACTTAACTCCAGTCACTACCTTTCATAACTAAAGTAAGGAAAATCAGTTTTCATTTAGTAACTAAGATTACTTCCTTGGCCCTTAAAGTGCTTCTTGGTTCCGAATTAAACTATAGAAGCTGAAATTAGTTTAAAAGAATTGAGCAAACAATAAAGTAACCCCGTGACTGAGATTAATTAGAACACACATGGCAGTAATAAGGTTCAGATCAGTTTTATGTGAAAACAACTCTACAAGACTCTAAACTAAACAGCCATATGCAGCAAGGCAAGAGGAAGGTGGAGACTTACGGTTCAGCTGGACCCCCCTGGGTGTATTAGCATGCAATGCTGTGGTTGAAGCTGACACATCAGAAGCCAGACGAGTCATCTCAACTGAGCAATCAAAGGACTCAGTTGGATTCTCAACTTTTACCCTGAAAGCTACTAAAGCATCCATTTGCTTGTTTAACTCAGCAGCTTCCTTCATTACTTCTTCCACTTTGGACCTATAGAACTTCACCACTTTGTTGAACTCATCGTCAAGCCTCCTAAAATACACCAACTCGTACTCTCCACCTTCTTCTGCGGCCATAAGAAAGGTAGTTTCATATTTTTCATGACCATCTCGCAGCACTGAGTGCACCAAAATGGGTTGGTTCTCAATGTCCTGCTCAGGGCTCAAGGGCTGGTAGTGCCTCTGCGTGAGGCCACTGAACGTTCTGTAGAGTGATAACTTTCGTTTTAGACCCGATGGGGTGGCACTGGAATGAGGCCTGTTTCTTTGCTTGTCAAGTATGATGTCTTTCAAGATGGATTTAAGGTAGCCATAATCCATGTATGCTAGCTGCCATTCTGGCACCATTTGTGCAGCAATTTCCTTGCCAAACTTCATTTTTTTGTCCTTTTTGGTGCAATTTTGATTGTAGCTTGGAATTAATAAGAGTGAATGAGAAGTGATAAAAGAACTAAATGGATGAAACTAGATGGCAAAAGAGAACAAAAAATTGCTCCCTTCTAGGCTTCTGACCTTCTTTGCAAAATGGAAATCATAGAGGAAATTTTATCACGGAAAGGTGGAGTCCACATTGTCCTTTCGAACAGATAGATGGAGTTTTCTGTTTTCTTTCCAGTTTTTGTTAATTTGAAATTCTTAATTTAGATTAAAATATTCAATGTCATACACGTATTTGGTGATTCTTTTACTTTTTACCACTTTAGAGCTCTGCATCAACATTTACTCATTCTAATTTCTAAAATAGATAAAATAACCAAATCTTATATTTTATCAAATACTTACTATTAGTTATTCATAACAACGGTACCGCAATGTAAGTTGCTTTTCTCATCAATATAGACTTTAACAAAAAGAATTGATCCACACTTATTAAACAGTTTATTTTACTTTTAAAAAAATATGAAATATATTAAATAAGATTTGAAAAAAAAATTATTGATCAACCGAGTGTCAGGTGAGTTACATTTTGGAATCTCACGAAATCAGGAAACATGTTGGAAGACATTGAATAGGACTCACTCAGTCTAGTGAACATCAATAAATCAAATTTAAGTATTCAATCACTATTTCTAGACGTATATATATCAACTTTTTCTTGTTAACTGTCACTATTTTTACCTGCGAATAATGTTAGTTTTTTTCTTTTTTATCTGTAATGTCACTGGATTTACTTTACAACTCATGCATGTTGTACACAACACTACTAGAAATTTTTAATTTTTATGGGATTTTTTTTACCAAATTTCTGTAAAATTTAGCAAAAAATAAGTTTCTTGCGAATTTTCATACAAATTTTTATTAATACATAATTAACTTGTGGATAATAAATTATCCAGGGATTTAATATTCACAAAAATTTCTTACAAAATTTGTTGAGAAAAAATTCGTAAGTAATTTTTTGTAAATTTAAATTTGCATATAATTTCTTGCAATTTAAATCTGTATGTAATTCTTGCCATTTAAATATGCATGTAAATTTTGACCAATTTCAAATTCGCAAGTAATTTTAAATTTACAAATAATTTCTTGATAATTTTATATTTGTAGGAAATTTCTTACTAATTTTAAATTCGCACGTAATTTTTTATAAGGTTATTTTAAAAAAAATCTAAAAAAATATTGTATAAATTTTAAATTATATATATATATATATATATATATATATATATATATATATGAAATTAAAAAAACTATTTATTGTGTATTTTATTTTATTACATAATTAAATGATTATAAAAGAAAAATTATTTGTTTATTCAACTAAAAAACTAAGCTAAAAACAAAATTAACGTGAAATGTTTTTTAAGAAAATTATTTAGTCTTGCGTCAACATGATCCCTATGAATGATAAGACAAAACATAAACAAAGTAAAATACTATTATATGAATGTAATTATCACAAATACATGAAATGAAATTATCAATGTTTGGAAACATGAGATTGTCTTGAAACATGAATATCTCCAACCTTGTTAAACTTGAAAGATCTTGCACGATGATCTTTCTTAGGTAATCTGAATAACAAAAGACCAACAATTGCAATGCAAATTTTTGTCATTAACAGAATCATATCAAATCTTTAATCCTGAAGTTCAAATGAAAAAGTGTGAATGACTAAACTCAAATATTAAAGTGTCAAAACAATATAAATAATTCAAAATTTTAAAAACTTGTAAAAAAATACATCCAAGCAAATCATTGATGATGTCAAAATCACATCCTATTTTGAATTTCCTACAATTTCATTATCACCTTCAATAATTTAGTTAAGTGTTATAATAACTCAAGAATAAAATTTTAAATATTATCATCTTCAATATGATCACTGTCTTCATCATCATTTTCATTGCTATGTTGAGATGATGAAGATGGTAAAGAAGAAGATGCAACAAACCCTAAGTGTTGCACTAAGGCTGCTACTTGATTATTAGTTTCAGTCAACTCTTTTTTCATTTTTTGCTTATCTTTCTTTGGTCTTTGTAACTCTTATCTCATTTCTTGTTTTTCTTGTTCTTGCCTATGTAATGATTCATTTAAGGCTTGAATTTGACTCCTTAAAGCATCAACATTTTCAAAATTTGACTTCTTAGTTGAAGATATGATTAACATTTTGCCTAGAGATCCAAGACCAAATATTCTTCCCTTATTTTTTCCAACTGAATCAATCCATATATCCAAATCTGATGGCATTTGGCTCATGGATTGTTCACCATCAATTTCATCCTCCCCAAAACTATGAGCTAATAACTCATTTTTCTTTTGTTCAAATTTCTCCTGCAAATGAAAAGGTACTTAATGAAGATATATAAAATTTAACACCATATTTAACATTTTGTAAAATTTGGCAGCTTTCATATTTGGAGGTTCCTCTTCTTTTGGTATAAAATGTTGCTCATGATTAAGACCAGCAGCATCAAACACCATATCTTCATGTATATTAACAATATTAGAACCCCATGGGTGACTACTACTCGACACTGAATGCATATTAACATTAACATTAGTATGAGGGATTTTCTCTCAAATGTAAATCATTTTCGGAGAATGTGAACATTTACTTCATCTGGAATTAAAAATCTCTCATTTTTACATTCCTTACATGGACACCTTATTTTTCCTTCAATAAAAAAGTTTGGTTGTTGACAAGTAAAAATCATAAACACATCGAGGCCACTTAAAAGTTCATTTGTATATGTCTCTCAACCAGGAAGAAGCCTATTATACATCCATGCTTGACGTTTAGATATGTCCATTATAAGATTGACTTGAAAATGCCTAAAATTATTATATATATAAAAAATAATATTAATAATACACATATAACTATTTTGAACAAGAAATTAAAATTATTCTTACCTGTAAACTTCATATACGAGATTTAAAAGTCTTCACAAACTCTTACCAAAACAACAACCTAAAAGGAAACATCAATGTTACAAATTATAACTATATATTATAAAAGGAGTGATCAAGAAAGGTGATTCTTATAAACAAAATAGACTATAATTGGTTTATGTTAAATGGAAACGCAATATTTTATTAAGTTTTAACTTTATAAAATGACATTGAGAATCTCTAAACTTTATCTTAAAAGAAAAAAAATATTATGGATTAGTTTAAATAAAATATATTTTAAAGTATTTATTAAAAAATGAAATCAAAAATTAAAAATACGAGAATAATTAAAAAAGTGAAAAAAATGACAACTGTAAACAAGTAACTAAACAATTTCATACAAACACTTAGGAAAAAAAGGAAAGTTTAATCGTTCACTACAAGTGCACAATCGATCAGAGATTGTTTAATTCAACTGAAAATCGTTCAATAGGTCATTATAAAATATTATATTATATTCATTTTAATTACCATTTCATAAAAATTCATACAAAAATAAGCATATTTTTTAAAGCGATCTTCTCTGGTTTTTATTTTATTTTTTCGAGAAAAATGAAAAAATAAATAAATTAACTTTTCTATACTAAAACAAAATTATACAAAAAAAAAGTATATAAGAATATTTCTGCAAAGTAAAAGCTAATTTTATTTTTTAATTTATTTTTTCTTAAAAGTCCTTTGTGATCCAAGACCCTAAATCTAAAACAAAATGACAACATTTTTTCGATACCAATTGTGCATTTAGTTTTAACAAGAAAAATAAAAAATGAAACTTCTTAGCATGATTAATCTAAAATTCAAACAGGTGGACCACATGAATATTTATGTATGCAATTGAGAGGAAACTAGAATATAAATTCTAATGAAACAGAACATTTTCAACCACCATAGGAAGCTAAAAGGATATAAAAAAAAAAAACATCAAGTCACTTTTAAAATTCTTTTCATGTCGAGTGAGTCGGCTACCATGAACCTTCGAGCGCCTCCAGCTTGGATTCTTGAAGGCGAGAGAACTCCCAGTATTATTTCAAAGAGAATGGTGGGAAAATAGTGACACCTTCATCAGTAATTTTAGATATCTGCCAACAGTCGCACATTACACTTAAGTATCATAAATTATTCATTATGCAATAGATAAGAATCCATTTCAATTCAACTAAGAGAAGTGTATTTCAATTCAACTAAGAGAAGTGTTGGCAATATACATTTCACCCTCTAATATACTCCTAATACACACTTTACACTGGTTAAAATTTGTTAGGCACAGTGAAATCATGAACAGAGCTCTTTGGATAAGAGACCCTGTAAAATTGTGACTTTCAATGAATTTTAACTAATAATAATAATAAGCTCTTATCTGTAATGTAAAAAAATAATACTGTAATTATTATTAATTAAAACTTCCAGATCCTTAGTGTAAAAATGACAAAGTCAAGTCAATATAGATAAAGCTAACTAATGAATAATCACATGCAACAAAAATCAGAAAGCAAATTCCAAGAGAAATATATCACTCAAAATAAAACAAGAAAATAATTCAAGTCTATGTCTTCAAATGTAAACTAGTAATACTGATTCTATGGAGCACAAGACAGTTGCACATGCACTACTGCAAGACAAGTATTTTTAGATTCTGCAAAATAAATAATAACAAACTTTTTCAACATGAAACAAGAACCAATTTCAGCTTGGTTGCTTAAAGGTCACTCCAAAAATCATTGGACTCATATAAAACAATGAATATTCTAAACTAGATTTAAAGAGGATGTCTTCTTGTATTACAAAGGGTATATGTTAAGAGTATTGGAGGCAGGAAGCAGCAGAAGCGAAAATTATGCAGAGTTTCATTAACAGACCAGAATAACAAACATGTTAAAACAAATATTCACAGAACATACATATGCAGGAGAGATATTGATTACATTACTTCAACGTTAAATGGAGGCTCTGAAAATTCCTTCCCCTAATCTTCAACAGACCCCAATCTGCAACAGAAATCAAACCCAATTTCATTTCTATGAACCCTAACATTCAAATTAGTAATAAAAAGTAAATCAATAACTATAATACGTTATAGAATACACTGAATGGTTGAATAAGTTATGTGAAATAGAACTAAAATATCAAAGACTCCGACGGTTAAGATTATACCTATTTATGTGATATTCCTCTTCTTCGACTGCGATTCAAGTCAGCCCGTCAACAATACAGAGGAAGGAAGAAGAAACAGTAGTGATTAAAGAAAGAAGAGTGGTAATATGGTCGAAGAAGAAGAAATGAAGATGAAACTGGTTCCTATTAATGGAATGGAAGCAGAGAGGAGAAACGTTGAGAAACGTTACTGAGGAGAGAGGAAGAAACATTGAGAAAGTTGCTTGAGCAGAGAGGGAGAAGCGTTGAGAAACTGGTTCCTATTAATTATTTTTAAAGTAACCAATTATAAAATATTTTATTATTTTTCTATAAAAATAATTAAAATCTTTTTAAAAAAATATTATTTTTAAATTTTGCTGCCATTTTTTAAAATATTATTAAATCTTTTTTACAAATTTTATTTATAAAAAAATATAGAAAATAATTTTCATTCCTGCCAATTTTTATATGAATATATATTTGAAAAATAAAATAAAATAAAATTATAATTATATAATTGAAGAAAATTTTGCAGGAATTTCTTATTATTAATTTTTTGCAAAAAAATCTTACATATTTTCTAGAAAAAATATTTTGCAAATAAATTTGTAATAATTTTTTTGTGAAATATTTTTCTTAGGAAAAGTTGTAACTATTTTTTACTAAAAATATTTTGCAGAAAAGTTCACATGAATATTTAATGATTTTTTAGTAGTGCAAGCCTTGTGCATTTGTATTTGTATGGTGCCTGTTCCGTTTAAGTGTTCCTCTTGACGTGGGACTATAATGAGTCCCTAGTGCTTACTGTACAGTTCCTTTTTCAAATTTGTTTGTTAGTGGTAGAACAAAATATCTGCAGATGCGTTTGCTGAGAAAATTTTTCAATAAAGGTGGTCAATGGTATGAAAAGTGAGGTGGGTTTCTTCTTGCAGAAAGAGTTCTTACAATGTATGTTATTTTCCAAAACATTACTCTAACAACAAGCTCTCTTTTCAAATATTATTACGGTTTAATGAAAGGAAGTTTAGATTAGATCCAATAAACCAGTAAAAGTAAATATCACTGAAATATATAGAAATTTTGAAAAATCCTTATAATATTAGCATGGTTGCAAGCCAAGTTTAAAAGAATAACAATTTTAATGCGTACATTTAGTTTTTATTAGAGAGTTCATTATATCCTATTTAATATCTTTTATTATTATTATTATTATTATTATTATTATTATTATTATTATTATTTTCTTTCACTGGATTTTTTTAAAATTTTCTTTCATTTCTTTTGTAAATAAATTTTCACAAGTAATTTAAAATAAAATATTAATTTTTAAATTATATTTTAAAATTATTTAAATATTAATTTTAAATAATAATATATTTTAGTCTTAATTTAAATAAAATATATATTATAAATAAATAAATCTTAATTTTTTAATTAAAATAAATATTTTAAAAATTATAAATAGTATCAATGTCAACACAATAGTTATTTATTAATGTAAAAAATAATTAATTATATGAAAGCTGATGTAATAATTTATTAAATATGAACAAAATAAATTTAAATTTAAATTTATTTAAATTATTAAATTCTATAATATTTATCATAAAAATATATTATCTAATTAATTAAATAAATTATTTATTATTAAAAAAATTATAAATATATTTTAAACTATAATTTAAATAAAATTATTTATAAGAAGTTAGTTATAAAAAAAATTAAAGAAAAAAATATAAATGAGATGAGAGAAAACTTAATAAGTTATATATATATAATATTTGAATTAATAATAGAAGATGTAAGGGTGAGTAGAGCGTATTGTTGCGAATCGTATCATATTGCTGTTCAAGCGAAAGGTGTTGTTAGTTTATGACATAGGACTTATCTAAATAAAATTGTCAAGAAAAAAAAATAAATTAAAAGGTGAACTCGTTGTAGCAGCAAGATAGAAAGAATCTTATCCACATCCACAACGTGGGAGAAGATCGAAGTCTCACCTTGGAGACAAACATAGCACAATACACCACAATATACAAAAGCAGTAACCAGAGAAAAATGGCTACTAGTGTCTTTTCTGCATGTTCAGGTTATGCTTCTCTTTGTCAAGGCAAAAACTTCTTCCCCTTTGCAGCCAAAGGGTCTCCTCTCCTTCACCTCAAAAGGCCACTCTCTGCCAAATGTGTAGCTTCTTTGGGAACTGAGATATCAGTGCCTCCAGCAGTTGACACTTTCTGGCAGTGGCTCAAGGAAGAGGGTGTTGTCTCTGGCAAAACACCAGTGAAGCCTGGTGTGGTGCCAGAAGGCTTAGGACTGGTTGCACTCAAAGACATTTCTAGGAATGAGGTAGTTTTGCAGGTGCCAAAGAGGCTGTGGATTAACCCTGATGCTGTGGCAGCTTCAGAGATTGGAAAAGTGTGTAACGGATTGAAGCCTTGGTTGGCTGTTGCATTGTTTCTGATAAGAGAGAGGTCGAAGGATGACTCTCTTTGGAAGCACTACTTCAGTATTCTGCCCAAGGAAACTGACTCTACTATATATTGGTGGGTTTATTTTGGTTTGCTTGTGAAACATGCTTAATGGGGATTTTGGTTGTTTTCATCTGGTTGGTTGATTTAGTTGGTAATTGGTTATTCCAGTGCAGGTCAGAGGAGGAGCTCTCAGAGCTACAAGGTTAGTTAGTTTGTTAGTTACTTAGTTGTGTCAATGTTTTAGCGCAAAAGCATATAAATAAATGAAGAAAAGATTGTGCTTTGGAGTAGTTACTTCTGGAAATGCTTGTTTTGTGCTGACGTTTTCAGTGTTGCTGATTGAACTGATTTGCGTAGGGACTCAACTTCTGAACACAACGCAGAGTGTGAAAGAGTATGTGAAGAGCGAATTTAGGAGACTGGAAGAAGAAATTATCCTCCCTAATAAGAAGCTTTTCCCTTCTCCTATTACAATTGATGACTTCTTCTGGGCATTTGGAATTCTAAGATCAAGGGCATTTTCTCGCCTTCGCAATGAAAATTTAGTTGTGATTCCATTAGCTGACTTGGTAAGTTCCTTTTCATTTTCCCTCTTTCTGTAATCAGAAGAGAGATAAACATGAACATATCAATTTAATTGTTTTGAAATAAAGTACGAAAAATTCTATCAATTTAGGAGGATTAACTGTCAAAGGAGCAGATATTACAGGAATACCAAACTTTTACTCCTTAAGTACACACTTCACTCGTTTTTGGTCTGATGTTGTCTTTTCCAAATTCAATTTCTGGATCAGATAAACCATAGTGCCGCAGTAACTACAGAAGATCATGCTTACGAAATTAAAGGAGCAGCAGGTCTATTTTCCTGGGATTACCTATTTTCCCTAAGGAGTCCCCTTTCTCTTAAGGCTGGGGACCAGGTAAAGTACCCTTGCCTCTGATTTTTTTTTTTCTCTTCTCACGTTCCATTTATACACAATACCCTTAAATAATAATGCATCAATGTCCATGGAAGGAGTTTTAGCCAATAGGAGCATGATAGTACCTAAGAAGCTAATATATGAACTAGCAAGCCAGCACTTACAGAGAAATTTATTTCAATTTTTCTTACTTTTATGTTCTAGAAGTCTTAATGGAAAAGTTTGTCCATGTTGTATTTAGAAGAACAAACTTGCTCTTTCAACAGTGCAATTGGTAACAAAAAAAAATACAATTGTAATATATTTACACGTAACAATGGAAGAACTTCTTACTGCAGGTGTATATCCAATATGATTTGAATAAAAGCAACGCCGAGCTGGCTCTGGACTATGGTTTCATTGAACAAAATGCGGACCGGAATGCATATACCTTGACACTGCAGATATCTGCGTCAGATCCCTTTTTTGGTGACAAACTAGACATTGCTGAGTCCAATGGTTTTGGTGAGACAGCGTACTTTGACATCTTCTACAACCGCCCACTTCCACCAGGGCTGCTTCCATATCTTAGACTAGTCGCTCTAGGAGGCACTGATGCTTTCCTATTGGAGTCAATATTTAGAAACTCCATTTGGGGTCATCTTGAATTGCCTGTGAGTCGTGACAATGAGGAGTTAATATGCAGAGTGATTAGGGAGACCTGCAAAACTGCCCTTGCTGGATATCATACAACCATTGAAGAGGTATGATTTGTATATTACTTTGGGTGAAGAAAAAAAAAACATGCACATTAAAGCATTGCCCACTAGTTTATAAGTATAAGGTATCCACACATCTAGAGGAACAGCAAGACATCTTACAATGCACATTAGTAGTGTGTGGAAGAGAAAAAAATGTGGATAATAATGTATTTTCATTTGTTTGATGGGAAAGAAAATGGAACGAAAAACTGTCTTTTAGAAACAAAAATTTTCAATTTTATTTAGTTCCATATCTCTCCAATTCAAATTCATTTCTTTTCTTATATCACTTTCTTTCCTCTCAATCAAGCGGAGCCTAATTTGTAATTTTTTCTATGCTGATTGAGCTTAAATAATAACTGAACGAAGCACGTGAATGGCAGGATCAAAAGTTTAAAGAAGCAAAGCTAAATTCAAGGCTTGCTATAGCAGTGGGAATTAGAGAAGGGGAGAAGAAGCTCCTGCAGCAAATTGATGGGATCTTTAAGGAGAAAGAATTGGAATTGGCCCAGTTAGAATATTATCAAGAAAGGAGGCTCAAGGACCTTGGACTTTGCGGGGAAAATGGTGATATCCTGGGTGACCTTGGAAAATTCTTCTAGGAGGTCGAAGCAGAAGCATTTACACCCGTTAAGGACACACTTCTGTCGACATTTCCAAAGGACGAGAAAACATCAACTCTTGGTAAATCAAAAAAGGAGGATTCCAAGACGAATCCATGGCAAGCATCCCATTTATCTTTGAGGAGGATCATGATCAAGTTTTTGACTCACCCCGGTTTACTAGAACATCTTACTTCATTCTTGTTTATAAAGAGGACTATGTAATGATCTTTTGAAATTGTGTGATCTGAATTTTAAGGCTGCGACATGAACAATTGTTATATAACTATACTGAACTCAAATTTGGAAAAATAAACAAATCAATGGTCAAATTGAAGATACATCTTTGCATCTCTCAATAGAAGCTGATACTTCCCTTTCTTTCTTTTTTGTTCTTTTTTCTTTTCTCGCGTAACTTTCTTTTCCATGGTTCTCTACAGATTCATTTTGTACATATTTAAAAAGGACATCATCATGTATACAGCACTTGAGTAATTAAGTGGGAAGGAGCAATTTATAAATTCCTCTTTTAAACTGGTGGTTGGGCAGAAAAGTGTATTTTTACATTTGGAAGCATCTACTCATCGCATATGACTAGAGTTAGGAGCACCTAGCAAGTCATCACACTTTGTTCCCTCGCAGAGACACTCATAAGGGTTGGCATAGAAGTAATCCTCTTCCTTTGGCTTGTCTACTTCAACTCTACGTCGAGTTGGTTGTCCCATTCTTTTTTCATGAACCTGTCGCACAGTATTTGCAAACTCATTCCATGGAAGAGTTCCATTTTGATGCATATCAAGCAATTCTACAAGCTTTTTCCGATCCAATAAAATGGACTTTTTAAAACCAGAATACCTGCAGGAGGACAAATTAGAATCTATTTTGTGGATCATAGTTAAGGCTAGTTTAGGTGAGTAAACCATCATTGTGATTCCTGAAAAGTGTATGACTTTATCATATTAGTCCCTGAAACTATGTTGTTTGTTTCACAGTTGTTTTATTTAAGCAACTTATCACTTCCTGTTACTTTATTAGTTCCTAAAGTTATGTTGATATTATTACTCAAGTCCCATTTTTTAAAAAAAATTTGGGCTATATACACCTTCAGGGATCCAAATGGTGGTTTACTCGCTTTTGGCCTTCTACTATAAATCAAATTGCGAGTAGCAAGAGAGTCCATGCACACCTGCGGTGGCCTTCCACAAGTTTTGCCATGTTACCATAATAAGTGGGAACAAAGGTGTTACTGGCGACAGAAACAATAAAGTCCAATGCTGCCATTTGTGATGAATGATTCTGAAATTGCTGCAACTCATCATTGGCCAGCAATGTCTCTTTCTTAACCTAGAAGTCAAAAGAACATTGAGATGAGCAGAAACCATGGTAATAATAGAGAATACAAAATTCCTTTCAAAAGTATTTTGTTGAATTTGTAATATAATATGTGATATGAACTGTAAATGGACAATTTTGCAGTATCCCTTGATGTCCATTATAGCATTTTATTAAATCCAACATAAAATCACATGTCAACTCATTACACGATCTTTGCTACGGTTTGCAACCCTGATCTCAGCTTAACACTTCAGATGAATAAGTGGAATTGTCAAGCAAACTAGTAGGATTGGTCCCACTGTGTTACATTCTGATGGAGTTTCTCCCATGATCATATCACGATCTGATTTTGTTTTTTTTTTTTTCGCTTAAACTGGAAAACCCATTGGGAACCTACTTTTGACCCAGTTCCATTGTGCATCACTGCTTCTGTCTCTTCTCTTTTCTTTCTTGTCATCTACCTCTTCTCTCTCATGTACTCTCCTTCATTCTTTGATTCTGCTGATACTGTGTCCGGGGTTGTTAAGTTCTTACTAGTTTATGAGTTATGTACGACCCTATGAATTTAAGTTTAGGCAAGGGGATTTTGCAGCGATTTGAAGTTCTTTCTCTCTCTTATTTATGTCATTTTGTATGCGTTATGTATGAATTTATATGACATATATTATGGATTTCCTAGGTTCTTACAAACAGTGTATGATCTAATGATTTACGATCTTTAGCTCCCTTATAGATCCTAAGTAGGTTCTTAATTTTAACTACATTGATTATACCAAATATAGGACCACCAAAATATAAACAGAAATGTGGTGGGGGATTAATGGTGAACTCACAATTCTTGGAAAAGCAGCTCTTAGTTGTGCTAATCTACGTTCACCACCATAAATTTCACCAGCTGCAATATATATTGATGCCTCCCTATCAAAACCCAAGGCTTGTAGAATTAAGGCTGACTCCTCCGGTGTCAAAGGACAGAGACCCTGTGATCTCCTTTCTTCAGATACTATCTCCTTTTCTCTCCAGGAAGGGAATGCATACCTGAATTACACAAGCAAGATAAAAATTTTATGTGAGATAGACCCCTCTTATGCCAGCTCATTACAAATAACTTTGACCACAGATTTTTTATGGAGGTAACAGATGTGAATTGTCAAAATATGCAAAAACCAACATATCATGTAATGTAACTGATGAACTACAGATACACTGCTCTCCTCCAACAAGACGGTGCCTCCACCAGCACATGCAAATAGCATCTTGTAGAGACTCTCTAGGATAGAACAAGAGGCATAATTAACTATTCAGAATCAATGGCATTCAGCTATGATAGAGAAAAAAAAATTCTAGTGATCAACATCTTCCCCAACAACTGTCAGATAGGAAGCACCTACCTCTCCTAAAAACCTATCCATAAATATATGTACAGTAAAGCATGAAATATAAAATACCTCATCCGCTTGAGCTCCACAGCTTCTTCTTTAGTGCAACCAAGCGTACAACCTGAGAAAGCCAGCATGTCCATCTCATATCTCAAATGCAAAGCCACAAAAGGTCCATTTTTACTAAGTATCCGAATCAATTTTTGGCCCAAATTCTCAAGTTCAGGAGCGAATTTAAGTGCCTGGTAATTTACACGACACCGGAGTTTCTGCAAATCAAGTGGGAGACCATTGTTTGCTAGACGTGCATCTGTTTTGTTGAAATGTACTACCTTATGCTTGCTAAAAAGCGGAAGAATCTGCAGTGTGAAGTCAACAGTTGAATTAAACTCAAGACATGTACTACTCAAAATGAGGGAGTGAGGGAGAGTATATAATGATGATTCTGATAAAATCAATACAACCCTCAACATCTGTCTTCTGTATCCTGTATTTTCCTCTCCAAAGGACAATTCAGTAATAATGCATCTAGTAAATTTTGCAAATTACCAAGTCAGAGCTGATAATTGCCAACATCGATGGAAGAAATCAATAACATTGGGAGAAAAGGGGGAGTGTCAAGCCTTCATTGAAGATCAAATAGCCAAAACCACTTGGGCATTCATAAAGAGAAACAAGAACTTTAAAAGAAGAGTTTTCATATGAAAGAAAATCCACTGCGGACAGGTGTAAAAGAAATAGAGTATCAATTTATTATTGAGACAAATATTAGCAATTATATGGAACTCCTATTTTATATACAAGTGATCACTGCTTTTATAGTCTCTAGATGCCTCTAATAACAAAATCAAGAGAACAAGTCTACGAATAAGTGTATAACTAACAATCCGTAACAAAATTATTATTCAGATTAGATATCCATAATAGTAGATACTCCAACCGCATTTAATTTGGCAAGAATAAAATTTCTGTCATTTGTCATCTGCCTTACCATCATTATCATAATAAGATGATCATTATATGTCTTACAATCAATGTTCAAAGACATTCTTTAAAACTCCCATGTAAACAGAAAGCAATTCAGGGAAATGTTAGGATACTGGATAAATATAATATAACTGTATTTTACACTAAAACTAGACCCTCAACATAAATCTGATGGGTCTATCTAGCAGGAAACTATCCACTCAAAAGCAACCTGATCACAGAGGTCTTCCCTTAGAGTAAAATGTTAAAGAAACATACAGCCGAAAGATGATAAATATCCTTGTCTTATAACGAATGGAACATAAGGTGAAGAATCATTAATCAATCATTGTATCAAACCTTAAATTACCAAATAAGAGAAGGCTTGATTAACATAGAGTACATAGTTTTAGCCCAAATGCAGCTAATACAATCTGCTGACCTGCTCCAAGTAATACTTTTCACTTGACCAGCTAACAGGAGGCATCTTCAGGGTAGTGTCTCCACTTTTCCTACTAAACCTTTTGGGCACTCTTTTTACTATTCGAACTTCATCTTGTAGAGAATCAATGAAATGTCTCACGTCAAAAATGTCCTCAAAGTTGCTGAGAAAAGAAAACTACAAAACATTAAAATGATAAGGAAGCCAATAGATAACACTCTTGATTTTAGAAAACAAATGATATACCTAGGGTCTGCCCAAAATGATTTCTTATCAAGCTCTGGTACAACCAATGTGAGATTCAAAAGTCGAGCAATGGCCACCATGTCACAAATCTGAAATGCCAAATCTTCTATATGAACACTTAAGATTATATAGAATAGGCACATAAAAATACCAGCATAGCAAATACAAACCGCAGCACGCATTTGATTCAAGCCCCCATTGCACGACACTCTTAGAAAACCATTACTTGTATAATTTCCTGAAATATTTCAGTTCATGAGGCTTTAATATTTACTGGAATGTGCAAGAATGGTATCAAATTCAACTAATACCCTATCAACCAAACCATATATTAATATGCATTGATATATATCACATATACTTGATCACAGTCTTTTTGAGAATTAAGAATACCCAATAATGAAAATCGAAAGAAGAGGCAAGCAGTATGTTCATGGGTGTGGGACCCATCTTAACAAGGCACAATTTTGATCCAGCAATTGGGCCAATATCAATATTATTAATATCCAAATAAATCATGCACGACAACAGAAAACTGCCTAAAGTGAGAATAGATACAAATATATCACAATTAATATAAACAGATTTATGTTAAATAAATTAAATAGAAAACACGTAAAAGCTAGAAATTGAGTTTTATGTAAGATTTTGCAACAACGTCCACTTTAGTTTCAACCTATAATGATACATGTAAAATATCTTACATGTGAATTTGGCTCCTCTAAAGTGAGAGATTCACTTTAAAGAATGAGATGCTATACCTGTGGTTTGAAAATCAACATGAAAATTTGAGCAAAGTACATAATTTATCACATATTGCTATGCATTTAATCACAATCTCATCTGTTGGTTTCTCATTCAATGGCCATAGTGATTAGTGGATAAAATGTCATTGCATTCATGCATTAATTTAGGTTAATTTCATATGTTGTTGCATTATGGGAACGATTTCATCATACATTATCGTTGTTTTGGACCATATATATTGGTTTGTGCATTGTTCTTGTAAATAGGTGTTTGGAGGTTTGAATTCATAGTTTGGAGGGAGTTGGTGTCAAGATGGAAAGATTTCAGATTAGCAAGTTCTACAGGTGCCTTGTGAAAAGTTCCACAACATGTGGATTTGATACCAGAATTTAAAGATCGAGATCAGAAAGCTCCACAGGTTGATTGTGGATTTTTCCACAACCTGTGGATTTGTGGTCCAGAATGCACAGTTGAAGTCAGAGAGTTCCACAGGTGAGTTGTGGATTTTTCCACAACCTGTGGAAATTCAAGACGGTTATGATAAGTGGTAACTACCTCAACAAGTGGAGAAAAAACGTGGAGAGACCCTATAAAGAAGGTGAAATGAAACTGAAAAGGGGGGACTGGACAACCATTCTGGATGTTTACGTTCTAGTTATTATCTTTTGGCAATTTTTACATTATGGAGAACTGATTTTCTTTTTTTTGTTAGAGGATTGATGTAATACTCTGAATTATATTTTCTTGTTCTTGACAATTGATGTTTAGTTAATGTTCTTTATCTCAGTATTCTATTTATAATTTTCAAGTTCATTCCACGAGCAGTTTCACAATTGGGAGATTAGAGGTTGTTCGCGATCCTAAATATAACATGTTAGGGTTTGTCACAATTGGAAAATTGGGTATATATCTAATTAGTTTGCAATAGAGTAGATTATTGTTTTTTCATGATTCTATTGAATGTCGTAACTGACCTAAGGGATTGGGGGTTCAGATTCAATGAATAGTTTTGCCTACTAAGGGATTAGGGGTAAAACAACTCTGGGTAAACTCAAGTGGATCATTACATTTCTTGCATCAATTGAAAGGACTGAAATTATATAGGAAAATGTATGAAATCAAATCTCTAACAGATTTTATTTTGACTAAAGTTCTTATTATAATTCTATGTTTTTTTTTTTTTCAAATTTTCAATTGCTCAAACTTACGTAAATTAGGAATCTAGTATTCAACAAATTCAATCCCAGAGGATGATATTTTATTACTAAGTTAACGATTGGTGCACTTGCCAAACGTTGATCACATAGATTCTCACTTTTCTCTCTAAAATGAATCTCTCACTTTAGAGGAGCTAAATCCTTTACAAACATATCTTCAAATATCCATGTGTAAGAAGGGAAATCCATAGTTTAGCCTTATTTGTTTTCCAATTTCCAGTAAGTGATATGAAGATTTTTGCAGACACCACGTTTAGAATTCAATCTTGGTAAGAATGGATAAATGTTTCACTGCTTCAAGAGTTCAAGTATAATATTTATCACAAAATGTTCATCAATTGAAACGAAAATTCTACTGAGGAGCTATAGAATCAGAAATACTGTATGGAGGTGAACAGCCGGCACTGAAGTGTCAACAAGAGCTAAATATAAGTGTAGCTCAGATGAAAATATTCGATCAGTAGATATACAAGGAAATATGGAAAGGATACTGGCCTAACGTGAATCAGTTATGCGAGAAGATAGGCTTCAATGAGAATAGTAGATCAAATGGAAATTAATTAGATAGGGATAAACCGTAGAGGAAGAGTCAAAAGGTAAGCTTTTCCAAACTTTTCTCAAGGCATCAATTGATCGACATAGCTGACCCACCTAAAAGAATAAAACTTGATCGTTGTTTTCTAAGGCCATCAACAGTATAAACTATAAAACAATTCATCCTTAGCAGGATTCCACAAAACATGATAGTAAATGTCAACTTAATATTGACTTCATAAATCATAATTGGCTATGACATCTGCATTTAAAGTTGAAGGCATACTTAAGGTTGCATGTCCAAACTCACATCCATAATGACATAAGCGAACCAAAACTACAAGCATCAAGTAAAGAAAAACTAACTTGCGGGAAGAAAGGTGGGAGGCGGTTGAACAAGTTCATTTTGTGTTTGGAGAGGATGTTGAGTTGTGTGATGTATTCGACTTGTAATCCCCAAAAAGAAATGGGATTTCCATATTTCACTCACTGTCACTAGTTGAACCAGACATGTCCACACCACAATGCTTGAACACACTCGAATGAACCAAACCCGCAAACGGCCCCTCGGAATCACACCACCAGCACCCTGAAGCTTATCACACCTCCCCTGCACACTCTCCATTCCTCTGCCACAGACCTCATTGCCACGTCATCACCACAACCTTCACACAGTTTCCAACAATCCAACAACAACAAAATCAACACAACACTACTCACGAAAACAAAACAAGAGAAAGGAAAATATGTCCATTCATTCATAAACATTGCATTTGAAATACCACGTAATTGAATACTTACCCCAGATATAAACAACACTGCCACGAAGTAAATCCGCACAGCTCGCAACCTTTAAAGAAATTGAAACCGTCCCAGAATTGAATTTGAAGCGGGTGATTGCGGGGAAAGGCTCGAAATAAGATCTTTCTGTGCCCCAATTGGTTTATCAGAATTTGAAGCTCTTATTCAAGAATCAAAGACAGAGAGAGTGGGAAGAAAGAAAGGGAAGATGTTGTTGTGGAGAAAGAAGATAGACAGAACAAGAAAAGGTAAAGATCTAAGAAGGACGAGGACGATCAAATCGGAACAGCCAAACACAGAAGATTCATGCAAATCCCCTGCATTTCTTCGAAAAACTTGTTTTTTTTTTTGTATCTCTCGCGCTCTCTCGTCTTTTTTTTCTTTCTGTTCTTTCTTCCCACCCGACAATTTCAGTGGAGATTATCGTTGTCTATTTCTAGAAAAAATGTTCATTTTCTCCCTCACACCAGCTGATCAACCTTTGCATGAATTTGAATTTCGATGTTGTCATGTATTGTAAGACAAAAATTAACTTTTTATACAAATTTTGCACATTAACCTTTTCAATATCCTTGAGCTCTTTGTAATTAATTTTGCATTAAATTATTCACTCATCTTATCGATGTGAAGTAAATAAAGTTCCCTTTCGAAAAATGTTGAGTTTAAAAGACTTATTTTAACTCGACACCAAAGTATGGTGTCTTTATTATAAAATTTTATGCGAAACAAAAAGAAAAGCACATTGAGGTTTTAGGGGTTCTGCAAAAAAATTATTCTGAAGTAAGTCTCAGATTTATAACAACATTTAATGACATTTTTTCCCTTTGTCTAATAAAACAATATTTATTTGTAAAGGCGAAGGAAGATCAATAAATAAAATCTAGAGAGTGCATTAGTAGCCGACATTAAATTCATGTTTACTCATTTGAAAATAAGATAAAAGCTATGAACTTGGAAATTGAAATGTATTGATAAATATAAATTTAACAGAACACTATAAATTGAAAAGTGTTGATCATACAAAAAGGTAAGGAAATAATTTATAACCGAACAAAGCCAAAAGAAAAATCATCCCAGAGGTTTTCATATGAGTTGTTGTGATCAAGATAGCTAGCTAATGGATAGATCTATTTCAACCTCAAAAGCTAAACCAGAGTAGAAAATGAATTTATTATTCATATTAGATACTGTGATTATATATGCACATAATACAATTGTAAATAAATATAAAAAAGAAATTGACTACGATAGTTACCTATTCTATCAATAAAATAATAATATAATATAAAAAATTCAAAAATATTAACATAATTATTAGAATTATAACTTTTTTTAACTTTCTCTCTCAATTTTATGATAATATATTCATCTCAAGTTTGTCTCTCAAAATGTTAAAATCTTGTGTGTATGAGGTTTAGTTAAACAATCTATAATTTGATCTTTTGTGGACACGTAGACTATTGTGACTTGATTTTAAAGCACTTGATCACGTGGTGAACATATATGTCAATATGTTTGGACGGGATTGGATGTTAATGTCTTGACACTCAAGTTATCACACCATAAAATTGGTTTTTTAAGCATAAGAAATTTTAACTCACTTATAAGTGATTTGATTCAAGCTATTTTTGCGGTTCGGTCAGCCAAAACTCTTTATTCTAACTCAGTACTTAACCATGACACCACTTTTTGTTTTCTTAAGATCCACGAGATTAATATCTCTCTAAGAAACACACACTGCCCTGTCATGAATTTTCTATCATCTATGCTCGTAGTCCAATCTGCATCAAAGAACCTAACAATATCAAGATCAGTTGAGAGTTTGATATGAAAGCATAAATTTGTTGTGTCATAGAGATATTTAAGTATTCTTTTTATTCCTTGTCAGTGATCTATGGTTAGGGAACTCATATATTGGCTAAGTTTGTTAACAGAAAATGTTATGTTTGACCGAGTGTTGGTTAGATACTATAATGCACCTATAGTCTGTTTGTATAGTGTAGGGTTAGTAATAGGTTCTCTTTCAACAATGAATTGTGAATTGTTTCCTTGTTACCATTGATGTGGGGTAGGATGAAGTTTTTTTCATATTAAACTTCTTGAGTAAGGTCTCTAATGTACTTTGTTTGTTTCAGGTACATTCCACCCATATCTTTGTGTACTTCAATTCCCAAGAAGTAGTTTAGAAGACCTAAGTCTTTAAAAGAGGAAGTAATGTTTAGTTGAGTAATGAAGGTCTCTAGATACTTGTTGTTGCTCCCTATTACTATTATTATGTCATAGACATATATGAGAAGGAGTATATATGGTCAGTTCCTCTAAGGACAAATAGTGATGAATCACTCTTAGTGTTTTGAAACCCCTATTCTAGTATAGTATCCTTCAACCTGTCATACCAAGCCCTTGGGGCTTGCTTCAGGCCTTAGATTGCCTTATTTAATTTACATATGTGATCAAACTTGGTTGAATATGTATATCTTTCAAGTTGATGCATATACATAGTTTCTTTAAGATTGTCATTCAAGAATGCATTATTTATGTCTAATTCCCTAACTTCCCAATTTAAATGTACTGCAATGGATAAGAAAATTCTTATAGTACTAGGTTTGATCATTAGACTAAAGGTCTCATCATCGTCCAAACTTGTAGTTTGTTGAAAACCTTTGGCAATCAATCTTGCTTTCCTTCTCTCAATTGAGTTATTTGCCTTGTACTTAGTTTTAAAGACTCACTTTGAGTCTATGATTATTTTGCCCCTATAATGGTACCAATGTCCAAGTGTGATTAATTATTAGAGCTTTAAATTTTGTATCCATGGTTGCTTTCCATCTTGGATTGGCTAGTGCTTCATTGATATTTTCTGATTCTTGTCCTCTATGTGTGTCTTTATCAGTCTTATATAGTTTTGGATTGTAGATCCCTTCCTTGCTTTTGGTTTGCATCTAGTGTATGTTGTCCTGCTGAGTTTGTTGGTTATTGTCTCTGGTGTGTCATCTACTGGTCCTTTTAAAACTGGTGTTTCTTTTGCATGTAAGGTTGCCTCATATGCATTGATAGAGATATCACTAAGCACGAGTTGATTTTCATTGGTAGTTAAGTCATTGAGAGTTGGTTGATCTTCATTGGCAGTTAAGTCACCTTCTTGATGATTCACCTCACTGTTAGTTGATTCAAATGTGTGACTTGTAATGGTACCTACAGGACAAGGCGGAAGAGAAATATTGTTCTAGTTAGAGTTTTTAATGAATTTCTTGTATCAAGAAAGCCATCATAAAATGGAAAGTGGTTCTCATTGAAGACCACATGACTTGAGACAAAAAAATTTCCATGGGAGTTGAGATACTTATATCCCTTGTGGAATTGAAGTTTATGTTGATTGTATGGTTTGAGGCAAGGATAACAAGCACAACCAAAAGACTTTAAGGCAACATAATCATATTATTTTCCAAATAATAATGAATATGGACTTTCAATTGGATTAACTGATGAAGACAATCTATTGATGAGATAAACTAAGATAGAGAAAGCTTTCCACTAGTAGTATAAAGGCATTTTGGTCTGTGCTAATAGTGTGAGCCCTAGTTTAATCACATGTCTATGGATTTTTTTGTTCTACCATTTTGCTAAGAGGTATATGGGCAAAACATTCTAAATTGAATTTCTGTCTTGATGGTTATTTTGTGGACATGTTTATACTCACTTTCACCATCATATTGAAGGGTTTTTATTCTCTTGTTAAACTAATTTTCAACCATGTTTTTGAATTAAGTGAAAGCATATATTGTTTCTTATTTTTGTTTTAAGGGGAAAATCCAAGTGAATCTACTGAAATCATCAATGAAATGAATATACTACTTAAATTAGATGGAGACAAAATTGGAGTTGGTCCTCATACATCACTCAGACTCAATTTTAAAGGTTCCTTAGCATGAGAGGAAGAGGATTTAACTGGTAACAAGTGAAGTTTATCATATTGACAAGTTTCACATAATGAAAATTGATCACTTGATGAAGTCTTCACATTACAATTCTTCAACACCTTTTCCAAGAGTTTATTGTTCGGGTCTAGCTTTCTATGCTAATTCTTCTTTACGGGCATGTAGATACATGGATTTTTGTTAACTTAAGAGTTAACACTTGAAAGTTGTATAATTCATCTCTAAGTTTTCATTTTAGTAGTTCCTTCCCTGTTAGTTTGTCTTTCACATAATAATGGTTTGCATTAAATTCAATAAGAGCGTTCTTGTCGATAATTAGTTTAAATACACTCAACAGGTTTTTTTTAATTTCTAAAACATATAAGAGATTATACGAGTTGATGTTATTTAATTTAGTTAAGCCTAAGGCCAATAATCTTAATATTTCACCATTATTAAGTAAGAGAGATTTCTTACCATTGCTTTTATTGAGATCTTAGAGTTTCTCATTTTGATGAGCTGCATGATTGTTAGCTCCACTATTAAAGTATCATTCATAGCCATGGTTGTGGTAGGGGGAGACTATGAAAGGCCTGTGATCTTCTTGCTTGTTATTTCTAACATTATGATTTGAGCTTGTGTATGACTTATCATAGTAATAAAAACAATTCATTATAGTGTGACCAATCTTATTACATACCTTACATATAGATCTACCTATTCCTCTACCTCCTTTGAAGTTAGAGTCCCTCCAATTGCCTTGTGTCCCTAGTTTGTTGCTTTTGAAATTAACTTTGTTTGCAAGGCTTCTAAAACATTTATTGAAATATTACAGAAATTGTTCAATTGTTCCACTCTCCTTTCAAATGCCAAAAGTTGGGCTTGTAGATCAACCCAACTAAGGTTG